GATGAGAGGAAGAGTGGATATCTCACTTTGCTGAGATATTTCACTACTGAATTTGGTTTCCTTCGTGAAACAAGAATATCGAGATTGACTTGTACTTTTGTAAAAACAAAAGTCAGGGCTCTCTCTCTCAGGACATATCGCTTCCGCGGCGGTGGGCGTGACTCTGCGCCCAACACAAAGCAAAACAGAAAGAATCATGTTAGAACTAGTTATATATCCAGCAAAACAGAAAGAATCATTGTTGTTGTTTTGCTTTTAGTACTAAGAGCAATTGAGATTTATGACTTCAAACAAGGAAAAAGAACGAACGAAAGGTAAGTACAACTAAAAGCAGCTTACAAGAACTCAAGTATTTTTCACTCCCACTATCCATGAGATATATGCATGAGATATATGCATTTTTCACTCTACGTGAATAAATCGAGTACAACCATTATCCATGATCGTCTCCTTTCATTTTTCATGAAAGTTTCCTTGACTTAGTCATTTCTAAGTCCCATCAAACTAACATGTTTGATGAATGTACCTGCTGGGATACCTTTCGTCAAGGGATCAGCAATCATATCACTAGTAGGAATATAAGTCACACAGACTTCTTCCTTTTCCACAATATCACAAATATAATGATATTGTATCTCAATATGTTTTCCTTTAGAACTGTTTGCACCACTGTTGATCAAGCTGATGGCTGCTTGATTATCACAGTATATCTCAATTGGTCTATCCACCAAATTGAGATCCAAGTCCTTTAGGAACCGTCTTATCCAGACTGCATGAGTTGTGGCCATACTATAGGCTATATACTCAGCTTCTTGTGTGTATCTTGCCACACATCCTTATTTCTTACTACCCCAAGAAACAGCTGCACCACCATAAATGAACAAATATCCGGAAGTGGACTTCCCGTTATCTTTGTCTCCTCCGAAATCAGCATCGGAGTAACCAAGAACCTCAAGCGAGTCTGCTTGATAAACTAACTTATGGTGCACAGTACCTTTCAGATATTTCAAAATCCTTTTAACAGCCTCCCAATGTGCTGGACCAGGATTACTTTGATATCTACTAACCAAACTCACCGGATATGCCAGGTCTGGTCTAGTACACAACATTGCATACATCAAGCTTCCAACAGCTTGTGCATACGGGACATCAAGCGGTTTCTGCCCTTCTCCAGGACATTGTTCTTTACATAACCGTTTTCCCATAACCAAATGTGTTGGCGCAGGATTACAATTCTGCATCCCAAACGTTCTAAGTATTGTATGCAAATACCTTTCTTGGTTTAAACTTAACATTCTAGACTTTCTATCTCTAAGGATCTGTATACCAAGAACATAGGATGCATCTCCCATGTCCTTCATCTCAAATTCACTACTAAGTGCTGACTTGATTCTGTTCAGCACTTCTATGTCATTTCCAGCCAGCAAAATATCATCCACATACAAAGATAATATTGTAAAACTGTTATCACTCTTCAAGACATATACACAGTTATCCAATTTATTTGCAACAAAACCAAGTTGGATAACAGTATTGTGAAATTTGAGATATCACTGTCTAGATGATTGTTTTAAACCATATAAAGATTTCTTTAATTTATATACTTTGTTTTCTTGTCCTTCAACCTGAAATCCCTCAGGTTGATTCATATATATTATTTCCTTCAACTCTCCGTTGAGGAATGCAGTCTTGACATCCATTTGGAAAAGTTCCAAGTCAAGATGTGCAACAATTGCTAAGATAATTTTTATAGAGGCAAACTTAGCCACCGGAGAGTAAGTCTCCTGATAATCTATACCTGCCTTCTGAGTAAAGCCTTTAGCAACTAAACGGGCTTTAAATGTATCAATAGACCCATCAACCCGATATTTCTTCTTTAACACACATTTACATCCTATGGACTTCCTATCTTCTGGTAAGTCACATAGCTCCCATACATTGTTTCTCTCTATTGAGTCAAGCTCCCTTTTCATGGCTTCCAGCCATTGTTCTGATTCATGTGTGTTCATAGCATCCACATAATTCAAGGGATCAGCTTGCTCATCTATGTCAATATCTACCGAGAAACAAGATGGTTCGCATGAATACAGATAATAATCATCCATCCATGCAGGTGTTGTTCTGGGTCTTTTATTACCACTAATGTTGACAGGTTGGACAGGTTCAGCTGGTTGATTTACCATAGGCATATTCTCATTTAAGGGCTCATCTTCTATTATTGGATAATTTACTTCATCCACTATGTCCAGGTCATCGTTGGGAACATCATCTAAGTCTAGCAGAGGTTGTACTGCCTCTTGAACTTGTTCTTTTTCCTCTAGATTTTCTAGAAAAGTAGCATCTCTATTTTCAATGACCCATTTCTCTTCATGAAAGAACCTATATCCTTTAGACTTTTCAGAATAGCCTATAAATCTACACTTTAAAGTTTTGAGATCCAGCTTATGTCTAACTTGATATGGAATAAGAACATGTGCAACACAACCCCATTTTCTTAAGTGACTTAATTCAGGTTTGAACATGTGCAACACAACCCCATTTTCTTAAGTGACTTAATTCAGGTTTGTGTCCATTCCAAATCTCATATGGTGTTGACTCGACTGATTTTGTGGGAATCCTATTCAAAATATAATTCGCAGTTAATACTGCTTCTCCCCAAAAATCCTTGGTGAGACCAGAATGTGACAACATGCATCTTACTGCATTCATCAATGTTCTATTTTTTCTTTCAGCCACACCATTCTGTTGTGACGTGTAAGGCATAGTGGAATGTCTCTTAATACCATAATGAATGCAATAGTTTTCAAATTCCTTTGAATTAAACTCTCCACCTCTATCAGTTCTTAACACATTTGGTTATGGGAAAAACCGGGAAGAACTTTAATGGAAGGGGAATGATCGGCCTGCTCTGATACCAGTGAAGGGGGGAGAATATCGGAGATTTCCTTTAGGACTCCGGAGAAGAGATCGTTTTTCTGTGTGTTCATAGAGGAGAAGAACTCCTCTAGATTTATAGGCATTCCCTCTCCACCTGCGTCCCCAAAATATCTGCCCAGTATCTCTGTAAACCACTTTCTCCGTAAGACCCGTTCTCTAACGGAAGAAATCCCAGAACGTGGGATATTCCCAACAACCAGGTTGGATTGTTAACAGATCGGGTTACAGATTTGGCCCATGAGGCCAAAACCACTTACATTCTAACCTTCAATTTTGTGCATCTTCTGCTATTATAACAGTCAAAGAATATGCTAGTATGTGTTTGCATGTGTATATCCAGGCGTTTTACTAAGTTTAATGTGTATATCCATGCATTTTACTAAGTTTCCCCAAAAGTTGAATTAAGTATGTAGTCAGCATGCGCCATTTGCCTTTGTTTCTGACCTCTTTGGATGCTTCAAAAAGTGAAAGAGTTTTACATCCTAAGATATCCTTATTCAGCATTGTGTAATGCCTTATATCAGCGTAATCTATGTAAGCTGCTTATGCCTTGTGTTGTTTTAGCCTTAGCCTTCTCAACAGCCTTTCTGCTGTTAAAATTTTATCATACAATTATATTTGGAAGATGTTGCTCTTGATGTAAGTGCTTTAATGGTACTCTTTATCCCAACCGCTATTATCTAATGGGCGTGTTGGTCTCTGTGTTATTATTTGGTTTACTTTGTATCATGTATTTTTTTTCCTTGGGATTAAGTTATATTTGTTGATTTCTCGAGCATCTCACAGACCGCCTGTCTTTTCTTGTTCTGACAGATACTAGCTGCTTGAAGGAAGCTGGACAAAATCAAAAAGTACACCTGATCATCTTCCTCATGTTACTTCCTCATCTTACCGCTACTTTTGACATTTCTTTTTCCAATTCTCATTCATGGTTCATTGAATTAATTTTTTTGAATTAATTTCAGGGGATGAAGGATGCGAATCAATGTTTTGATGGGCTCACTAGTCAAAAACCAAGGACTTCGGCATGTTTTTCTCTCTCTTTGGTTAAGATCTTCTATATGAAATTGATTGTAATAGACTTTGTGACTAGAATGGATTATACTTTATATTAGGAATATCATGACATTTACTTGATTCGTTTTGCTTCTTTCATGACCTTTCTTTCTGTAAATATTATGTATGAGAAATGTTGTTCTTTAATTAGTGGAATTATGGTTGTCCTTCTGCTTGTTAATATTTACAAACTCGATGTTGATGGCCACTAAAGTTTTTGTGCTAGGAAATTGCTAATTTTTTTAAATACATGTTTATTAACCTGTTACTTCCCAAGACATGTCATCGTAAAATTGACTCAATTTTCTTGAGTTAAGATTGTGCAAACATGTTTAGTAACTTGTAAATTTTTTTAAAATATGATAGAATCACAATTTAATCTAATTATTTTTTGTAACTTGTTTAAAATCTAAATCTAATTCTAAAAAGTATGAATTAAAATTATGTTATGATAATTTTCTTCCTCATTTTCTTAGAAATGTAACCAAACAAGAGAAAATAATTTTCATATGAGTTTTCTTCTAACTTTCATTACAATATTCTTTCTAACCAAACAATAGAAAGAATATCATTTTCTTTTCTTTTTCTTTTCCTTTCTTTTTACTTTCTCTTTCCTTTTCTTTTCTCTCCCTTTCTCTCAAACCAAACACAGCCTAAATAAAAATTGTTTTCCAAGCTAGATAAATTATGCTTGCGGCCCTAAACAGGAATCTTAAAATCAAATAAATTCATCGACGCATCTTGTAGCTAGTTTATTACATCTTAATATTATCATGTGTGTCTGATAATTGCATAATCACGACATCATATTATCATGTATTGCTTACGCATGCAAGAGCCCCGTCATTCAAAAGGAATCTAATCTCATGCAATCTGTAATGGAAGAGACAAATTATTTCAAAGTAAATTAAACAGTCTTCGCTGTATTAATTGTACTTAGCGAGCTACTTGCAATTTTCTATTCGTATCCCTCTCCTTTATTTCTCTATAAAATCACTCCTTTTTCTTCTATTCCCTGCAGATAATACTTCAAGTATCACAAGATGACTTCCTTCTTTCTTCTCCTTTCCTTTCTTGTGGTATGATAAACATACAAATACCCCTCGTTTTCAATCTCTTGCTATCTAATTTTGGGTTTCTTCAATATTAATTAGTCACCGGATCTTTCGTAGTCTGAAATTAGTCCTCCAAATCTTCATATTTAAATTAAAGTTAGTTTTCCAGTCTTTTAAGTGATATCAAATTAGCATTCTAGCTACAGGTTGGTTGAGACTAAGAATATTTCATCATCTTCAATACTTTCTATGTAATACCAATTAGACCCTTATGAATTCAACCCAAACACTAATAAACTTCATTGGAACGCAAATTGGCGAAAGATTCTGCAATATTAGACTTGAATCCAGTGATCTGGAGCATGATTTGATAGAGTATTCTACCTGGGTAATTTGGTAACTGACATATTCTTGGTTGACCACTAACCCAAACGTAGTTAACAATTTGGATGATAAATATGCAGAGTGACTAATTTCCTAAAACTTAAAAATACAGATGACTAGTTTGAAAATATGAAGATTTGAGGGACCAATTCAAACTATATATAATTAGTTTGGAGAACTAATATGGAGGAGAGAGAAAAAAACCCTTTTATGTTCTCATATAAAATGAGCATAAATGATTTTATTTTTTGCAGGTTGTTGCAGCAAGCCATGAAAGCTTAACAGCTCAAGTGTACTGGAACAAAGCCTTGCCCAAAACTCTGGTGCCAGGAGCCATCAAAGATTTCTTACACCCTGGTATCTCTTCCTCTAATTTGCATTTTCCCCCATCTTTTTTCGAGAATAAATCTTGAGAATATCAACCATTTTCCATTACAATATCTGGTTTGCAAGATTTTTTGCCAATAATTTCAGTAGTAATTGCTTTACCGTTGACAGCAAACAATAAATGAATAAAAATTTTGGCTGCATAAATATTTTTTGGGACTGATTAATTGTATGATTAATCGTTTTTGCATTTCGCTCTATGATAGAGTACTACCTACGATCATTCTCTTTTGGGGGTGTTTGTTTCAAATCCCAAAATTTATGGATATGGATTTCACCATAGAATTTGAAATCCCAAAATTTTTTGTGGGTTTTGGGATCTCTAAAATTTTGTTTGTTTCATTAATATTTTATGATTTGGAATATTATAATTTGTAATATTTTGTTTGTTTCATCAATATTTTGGGATTTGAAATACTGTAATTTGTAATTTATACGTATAATTTATTTTATGATATTTATTATATATTATTATGCAATATCAAAAAGCTCTATATTCTCCAAATTTGAGTATTTCAAGAAGATGGGGAAGCTGTTGGAGATGCTCTTATAGAGTACTACCTAATACCTATGATCATTCTCTAAATATATTGCAACAACTACCGATATAACCCCTTTAGAGTCATTCATGTTTTGAACTCTCACTGTCTCTCTAGTTTTAATTTTTGCAGATAGACCCCTGAGTGAAATATTTTGACCCAGTTACCCTCATAGAAAGAAAAAATATTTTTAGCCACCCCCAAGAAACCACCTTTAAACTAGGCAATTATATGAAAACCACCTTTTATTTTCAAATTGTACATAAACCACCTTTAAAGTAGTTTGTTATTACAATTAACTACCTCCTAAGCTTATCTAACAAGACCAATTTTAAGTTCTGGTCGAGGTTTTTGCTTAAACTAGGACCAGGACTTGAACTGATTTCGTAGCCAGACAGGGCTCTTAACAACACTGCTTTCATATATTTCTATCGCAGAGTTCAGTACATAAAGTATCATAATCTTTTTCTTCTTTTGTCACCTCTATGCAGTGAAAATCGAAGGACATCATGCCTCCAGTAGTTTTGGATACCGTCCAGTCCTGGAGGAGGACATGCTCTCCGGCACAAAAGTGAAGATGCACTTCATGAGAACCACCGCCGGCTCCGGAGCCACCTTCCTATCCCGGCAAGCCGCCACCACCATTCCCTTTTCATCCGCTTCGCTGCCTGCCATCCTCACCCACTTCTCCGTAAACCCCAACTCTGTCACCGCCAGTCATTCAAGAAAACCCTACACGAGTGCCGAAAAGGCCTGCTATAGCCGAAGAGAACAAGTACTGTGCTACGTCCCTTGAATCTATGGTCGAATATGCCACATCCACTCTCGGTACCCGTCATGTTTCAGCCCTATCGACTGTCATGTCGAAAGAAGGTGCGCCGGATCAAGAATACGTGCTATCACGCGTGAAGAAGATGTCTGGATCGAATTTTGTGGCCTGTCATGCTAGAAAATATCCGTATGCAGTGTTTTATTGCCACACGGTGCAGGGTATAACCGCGTATCAGGTGTCGATGGTGGGCGAGGATGGGACGACAGTGGAGGCAGTGGCGGCATGCCACACAGTGTGAGTTGTTAATCAGTCCTAGTTAGAATAGAATTGTTAGTTTTGAATCCATGTTATTAGATAGAGTTCTAATTATAGTAGAATACTAGTTAGGATAGGTTTCCTAGTTATTGGTTATAAATATGTAAACAAGTCTTTGTAATTTTACTTGGGCTGATCCTATTGCAAAAGCCAACAAGTGGTATCAGAGCGGTGTATGCCTAAGTACCAACCAAGATCTGAAGAGATGACGAGTTCGGAGAAGATGACGACCAAGGTGGGTTCGCTCACTCTTCAATACCCGACGTTATCGAGGGACAACTATGCTTCGTGGGCAATCAAGATGAAAGTCTACATGAAGGCTCAAGACGTGTGGGATGCCATTGAGCCCGCGGCAGGCGCGTCCGTGGAACACAGGAAGGATCAGATGGCGTTGGCGGCCATCTACCAGGGGATCCCTGAAGAGACTTTGATGGTGATTGCAGAGAAGCAAACGGCAAAGGAGGCATGGGAGACGTTGAAAACAATGCATCTAGGAGCGGATCGTGTGAGGAACGCGAAGGTGCAGACCTTGAAGTCCGAGTTCGAACTTCTTCGGATGAAGGAGAATGATAACGTCGACGATTTTTCGACGAAGTTGACAGGAGTCGTCAACAAGATCCGAGCTTTAGGCGGCGAGATGGAGGAGAACTACGTTGTTAGAAAGCTACTTCGGGCGGTACCGGAGAGATTCCTTACTATCGTCTCCACGATTGAACAGTTTGGGGACATCGATAACATGACACTCGAGGAGGCAATCGGGCGTCTCAAAGCTCACGAGGAGAGGGCACGTGTTTTCCGAAACAACGGCGACGATCACCTATTGTTGACACATGCGGAGTGGCAAGAAAGGGGCAAGAAAAACAACGGAAACACTTTCTCCACACAGGCGAGTAGTGACGGCAATGGACGAGGCCGTGCACGCGGAGCAGGACGTGGACGAGGCCGCGGCCAGGCAGGCCGTGGTGGCCAGTTCGGCCGAGGCAGAGGCCAAGGAGGCCGCGGAGGGGAGCACGGCGGCCAGGCAGGCCGCGGCGGCTTCGGCGGCAGAGGAGGACGTCCAGGAGGTGGTTTCGGCCATGGAGGTGCAGCTCGCCAGGAGGGGGAGAGTAGCACAAGCGGTGGTCGAGACAAATCCAACATCAAATGCTTCAATTGCGGAGTATACGGGCACTTTCAGTCGGAGTGTCACAAGCAACGCCGCAATAATGAACAGGAGGCTCATCTCACCCGTGCATATGACGAGGAGCCAACCTTGATGATGGCTATGTTAGAGGAATCATCAACTGTCATTCTACTCAATGAAGAGAAGGTGGTGCCAATGAGGAGAAGGTGATGCCGGATTTACTTACAGCGGGGGAGGCACATGTTGACAACAACACTTGGTACCTTGACAACGGAGCTAGCAATCACATGACCGGCCACCGAGACAAGTTCAAGGAGCTCGACGAGAACATCAAGGGAACCGTCAAGTTTGGTGATGGATCCGCGGTAGAGATAAAGGGGAAAGGCTCTATCCTCTTTCAGTGCAACAACGGCGATCAAAGGCTACTACCTGAGGTATATTATATTCCAAGCTTGAAATCTAACATTATTAGCCTTGGTCAGATGACTGAAGATGGGAGTAAGGTTGTTATTGCTGACGAGTTCCTGAGGGTGTTTGATAGGAACGGTGCTCTCTTGATGAGGGTGACACGTTCAACTAACCGATTGTACAGGATAGAGTTAAAGACTTGCAAGCCGGCGTGTTTGATGGCGAACATTAACGATCCAGCTTGGTTATGGCATGCTCGCCTTGGGCATGTCAATTTCTTCGCCCTCAAGATGATGACTGAAAAGAGGATGGCTTCCGGGTTGCCGAAGATCTTGCACCCAAATCAACTATGCGAAGGATGCCTTGTCGCCAAGCAAGCAAGACTGTCGTTCCCTTCGCAAGCAAACTTCAGAGCTCAGAGGCCGCTGGAATTAATACATGCTGACCTATGTGGTCCTATCACCCCATCCACACTTGCGGGTAACAGCTACTTCCTTCTTATTGTTGATGATTTCAGCCGATGGATGTGGGTATACATGTTGAAGGCCAAGAGTCAAGCTTGTGAAACCTTCAAGAAGTTCAAAACAGAGGTTGAGAATGCATGTGACCACAAGGTGAAGACATTGAGGACGGATCGTGGTGGCGAGTTCTTGTCAAAGGAGTTCACCAAGTTTTGTGAAGACTACGGCATCAAGCGTCATCTCACTGCACCGTACACCCCGCAGCAAAACGGTGTAGTGGAGAGGCGTAATCGCACGGTGATGGACATGGCGAGGAGCCTACTTAAGAGCATGCATATGCCTGGAACCATGTGGGGCGAAGCGGTTAGGCACGCGGTGTACATCCTCAACCGACTACCAACCAAGGCGTTGCACGACCACACACCCTACGAAGCTTGGTTTGGTAAGAAACCCCACCTAGAACACTTGAGAGTTTTGTCGCGGGCGTGGTCGCGGCCAAAGAGGCCGAGGCGGACAGCAGTACCACGGCAGCGGACAGCAGTACCACGGCAGCGGACAGCAGTACCAAGGAGGCCGCGGAGGGGAGCACGGCGGCCAGGCAGGTCGAGGAGGCTTCGGCGGCAGAGGAGGACGTCCAGGAGGTGGTTTCGGCCATGGAGGTGCAGCTCGCCAGGAGGGGGAGAGTAGCACAAGTGGTGGTCGAGACAAGTCCAACATTAAATGCTTCAATTGCGGAGTATACGGGCACTTTCAGTCGGAGTGTCACAAGCAACGCCGCAACCATGAACAGGAGGCTCATCTCACCCGTGCATATGACGAGGAGCCAACCTTGATGATGGCTATGTTAGAGGAATCGTCAAGTGCTATTTTGCTTAATGAGGAGAAGGTGGTGCCGGATTTACTTACAGCGGGGGAGGCACAAGTTGCCAACGACGTTTGGTACCTCGACAACGGAGCCAGCAATCACATGACCGGCCACCGAGACAAGTTCAAGGAGCTCGACGAGAATATCAAGGGAACCGTCAAGTTTGGTGATGGATCCGCGGTAGAGATCAAGGGGAAAGGCTCTATCCTCTTTCAGTGCAACAACGGCGATCAAAGGTTACTACCTGAGGTATATTACATTCCAAGTTTGAAATCTAACATTATTAGCCTTGGTCAGATGACTGAAGATGGGAGTAAGGTTGTTATTGCTGACGAGTTCCTGAGGGTGTTTGATAGGAACGGTGCTCTCTTGATGAGGGTGACACGTTCAACTAACCGATTGTACAGGATAGAGTTAAAGACTTGCAAGCCGGCGTGTTTGATGGCGAACATTAACGATCCAGCTTGGTTATGGCATGCTCGCCTTGGGCATGTAAATTTCTTCGCCCTCAAGATGATGACTGATAAGAGGATGGCTTCCGGGTTGCCAAAGATCTTGCACCCGAATCAATTATGCGAAGGATGTCTCGTCGCCAAGCAAGCAAGACTGCCGTTCCCTTCACAAGCAAATTTCAGAGCTCAGAAGCCGCTGGAGTTACTACATGCTGATCTATGTGGTCCTATCACCCCATCTACACTTGCTGGGAACAACTACTTCCTTCTTATCGTTGATGATTTCAGCCGATGGATGTGGGTATACATGTTGAAGGCTAAGAGTCAAGCTTGTGAAACCTTCAAGAAGTTCAAAACAGTGGTTGAAAACGCATGTGACCACAAGGTGAAGACATTGAGGACGGATCGTGGTGGCGAGTTCTTGTCAAAGGAGTTCACCAAGTTTTGTGAAGACTACGGCATCAAGCGTCATCTCACTGCACCGTACACCCCGCAGCAAAACGGTGTAGTGGAGAGGCGTAATCGCACGGTGATGGACATGGCGAGGAGCCTACTTAAGAGCATGCATATGCCTGGAACCATGTGGGGCGAAGCGGTTAGGCACGCGGTGTACATCCTCAACCGACTACCAACCAAGGCGTTG